TGTGTATATATATATATATATGTCCTGTACTACTATATATAGATATATATGTAGATATAGATATATATGTAGATATATATGGAAAAGAACTGAGCTTAAGTTTTCCCTGTTTTTATAGCCTTTTCTCACCACAGCAAAATAAACAAACAAACAGACAAATAAATAAATAGCCAGGTGAGAGTTCCATGAACCAAAAGGGACTGACCCAACTCCGTGTGAAAATTCCCCTTAGCAGCTGCTCTACAACACACGCGCTCCAGGGAATATTTCTTGGGCCCATGCTGAACTGTTTCCTAGAAATTATGGTCCCAGAAGGTTCCTCCTCCCCAGGCAGCCGCTCACCTGCCATGGCAGCCTCGGCCAGCACCTTCAGCACCTCTTTTTCCATCTCGGGGCTGCTGCAGATCTCCTCCCAGGTGCCTTTAAAGCCTTTCTTCCGAGCCAGCTCCGCCAGCTCCTTTTGATTTGGCACAACGAACCCAACGACGTAAGAATGGAAGCTGAGAAGCACAAGGGGCTTTAGATTGCGCCACGTTAAGGGGTCTTCGAAACAAACAACATTTTGAAGCTGGGGTGTTTTCTCTCAAGCTACAAGCACACCAGCAGAAAAGCATTTTTAATGCGAAAACCAGCTTCAGGCTGGGGAGAAGGGAACGGAAGAGACCCGTTCTTGGCATTTTCCAGTGGGGGAAAACAAAAAAAAAAAAAGAGGGAGAAAGGAAAACTAGACCCATACATGTCAGGTGCTTCAGTTTTGAAAGCTATTCCGTCGTACCGTAAGGAAAACCCTTCTGCAACTGTTTAAAAGATTCCCCGTGCTGAGCGGGCAGAAAGGTTTCGCTCAGGGTTCGCCCGGCAGCGACTCGGCAGCGCCGGCCTCTTACCTGCTGGCGTACGCACAAATGTTATCCACCAGCGGCAGGTTCTTCAGAGCCGCTTCTACCTTGCCAAGAGAAACGTATTCTCCAGCCTGGAGCTTCACAAGATCTTTTTTACGATCTATCGAGGAGAAAAGAAGAAAAAAAAAAAGAAATTGAACAGTAAACCCCAGACTGCAAGGCTTCGAACACTGATTTTATGCTTTTCTGTCCAGACTCTGCATTTTATCCCTCCCCTCAATGTGGGAAACATTTCAATCCCCTGCGTTTTCTCTGTTTAAGAACAGCGTTTCCTCCTGTTCTTTTATAATAATGAGATATTTTATTATAAAGAATGGCAAGATTTTAAAAAAAAAAGCCTGAACTGATTTCTTATTACCATAAGAGCCCTTTCACCGAATGAAATTCCCCACTTCTAAAAATCATGAAGTCTCAGGCAGCTTATCTGGCTCAATTAGCCTACATCTCACTCCCTAATTACCACCCAGCCTCACTAACCCAGCGGAGTCGGCGCTGAGGTCGTTTCAAAAGGAAGCAATTGCTTCAAAAATCAGCTTTTAAAACACAAAATCGAGTTTACGTTGCTTCCCCGGGACGCGTGGCAGGGCTTTACACTGCGCATCACCACAGGGAGATGGTTTTATTCATTTTTTTGGGGGTTTTCTCAGCCCTGAGGAGTGTCCCTACCCATCTCCGCCTGAATTTATTTAACTCACCGATAATTTTGAGACACCCATCCTGCAAAAACTCCGATGTCCCCAGTGTGGAGCCACCTCTGCCCGTTCTCATCAACGGTGAAATCTTTTCTGGTCCGCGCTTCGTTTTTGTAGTAGCCCACCGTCACGTTCTGCCCCCCAATGAGGATCTCCCCCCTCGGGTACGGTTTGTCAGTGTTATAATACCCACCTAAAATATTGGGGTTTTTATTAAGTTAACAGCAATTAAAATATATTCATTCCAAAGCAAGAATTCCTATTATTTTTGCTATTTATACATAGGATAAAACACTCGAATTCAAGCCCTCAGCCACAGTTACCACTTGCAAAAATAACCTGCCAAGACAAGAGGTGGTTCCAACTCTTTTTTTGGCATATAAAGAGCTATTTTTTTTACAAACTGTGAAGCTCATACAAGTGCAGAGGGCAAATGCCACTCCTACACAATCTTTCTGCCAGGACTAACACCCTCTATCAGCATCATACAGGCTGGAATAATAAATAAATAAAGAATAATTTAAAAAAAAGATAAATTTCACTTTGCATTTTAGGAAAGCAAACTCTAAGGTCTCGCATTAACCCCAAACACCCTGAAGCATTCTGTATTTCTACTCTGCAACACATAATACACTGCACACAGTGAAAGGGCGTCAGGTAAAAATCTTTCAAACTCCTTAAATAAATTTTATATATATTCTTAAGTTTAAACATCACCGGGGAATTTACCTTTTTTGTCCCACAAGATCAACCTTTTATAGCTAAGGGTAGCATTTAAAATTTAAAAAGCCAAGATCCAGTCCTTATAACCACTGGAACTGAGCAAAGCCCAGTAGAAAACCAGCTCTACAAAGCTCTTAAAAACACTATAAATTTAATTACACAAATTCTCACCTTCTTCCCAGTTCATTAACTTGATTTCACAGCAGACCAAAGGTGCTCCCACTCTCCCTGTCGTGTAGTCCCAAACTAGAATTGTAAAAAGAGAGCATTTTCTCAGGAAAAACACCAAACTAAGCAGCAATGTTTCCTAACAACTCAGGGATTCGTAGTTTGGGCCACTTTCCTGAAGTCTCAGCCTCAAATACTTCTGCATCTGGGCACTCTCCTAAAGGAGCATCACCGGGAACTGCATCACCTGTGTTACAGCTCTACGCTTTTATTTATTTTATTTCTCTTTTTAATTTTTATTTTATTTTATTTTAATTTCATTTTATTTTAATTCATTTTATTTTAATTTCATTCTATTTTATTTTCATTCTATTTTAATTAATTTATACTTTCTTTTATTTCATTCCAAGCTAATGAAGAAACCATTTCCAAAGAGCTCTTGGAACAAAAACCACCTCACGGCAGCTTGGGGATCACCAAGGAACAAATCAGAGAAGAGCAGTGAGAGAAAAAAGGGATCTTAAGACAAAAATAACACATATTCCAGAGTCCAGCCTAATGATTCCCCTGCAGATCACAGCAGCTCTGACTGTTTCTGCTGAAGACATTTAGGGCAACTGAAACCATTTAGACAAAACCAGAATCCGGCGCAGGCTTTCACGTTCCATGTTTTAAATCCTCCTACCGCTTCGACTTCCTCACCAAAACCTGAAATAATTTTCTTTTTTCCCCGTTCAACCAAGTGCCCCAAAGCCTTAAACCCACCCCTCTTAATCCCAGGCGAGAACGTTCGCTTTACGTGGGGGTTTTACACATCCACGACCATGAGTAACGCCAAAAACTCGGCGGCGTGAGGTTTTCGGGCTCCCACACCGACCTTCCGTGATGGTGCCGGCGCCGGCGGACTCGGTGAGCCCGTAGCCCTGTCCCACGGGGCAGCAGAAGCAAATGTTCATGAAGCGCTGCGTGGCCGCCGAGAGCGGAGCTCCTCCGCAGAGCAGGATGCGGATCTTCCCGCCGAGCAGCAGCCGCACTTTCCGGAAAATAAGGCTAAAAAAAAAAGGCAAAAAGGGGATGCAAAGTGTGGATTCGCCGCATCGTGTAGGTAAAGTGAATTCTCCCAGCTTGGAATAAGCTTTTAGGGCGTTCAAGGCAAACTCTGACGCTTTCCACAGAGCTTTTTTCCCACGTTCTCATTTCAAGGTGGATTAAATCTTCCAAGAACGTAAATTTAGTAAGACAGTGAAGCTCTGTGATTTTCCCCTCCAAAAATAATTTATGTCCACTATATAAACTCTAAAATTATATTATCCTTTAGTCTCACGGAAGTTGGGAGTTAACTCTTAGGGGTTCCTTCCAACTTGAAATATTCTACAATTTCACTTGTGTGGAAACGTGAAGTCTGCAGTTACCTATAGGAATAGACTTCACCAAAGAATTGTATCAATCCATTATTAAAGTCCTCAGGAAAATAATGCAACAGATGCGATCAGTTTCAAGTTAAATAACACTCAAATTGTATGAGGAAATATTTAAAACCATTGCAGGAATCACCCATTTGTTGTTTCAATTTTCACTTAGTGACAGACTTGTTCACGTTCAGAGCGTCACCATTAAAGCAAAGGAAAAGACACAAGAAAGATGAGATGCTGCTGACTTTGATAAGCGTTCCTCTGGTGTCATTAAAAATAAAATTACCTATCGCAGAGCGGGGTAGTGTAACCTTTGGAAATCTGCTCCATTTTGTAGTTGTAGGCCAATATAAAGAGATTCCGCTGGAAACTCGTCATTTCATTCACTTTGTTCATGACGTTTTTGTAGATCCGATCCATGATTTCCTAGTTACACAAGAAGATTAACTTTCGCACTGAGAAATGAAAATCCTAAACGTTGCATGAATTTTCTTGTTCAAAATTTGAATTATTAATCACATTTTGAAAATAATTTAAAAATGATTTATCCTTCACTTACCGGGACAGCTGCCATTAGGGTCGGCTTAAGGGTAGTAACATCACCTTTGCTTCCTTTCTTGATTTTAGAGGACTAAAGCGAAGAACAAGTTTACTAGCAGACACATTTGAGATTTTTAACGCGGGAAACAAACACAGTGCATCTTTTAAGAAATCATTTTCATTTAAATTACATTTTAACAATTAAAACTAGCCCAGAGTACCAGCCATAACCGCCAACAGCCCATCTTACAAACCGCAGAAAAGATCTGTCTAAGTTTTTAAGAAATGTGACAAAGACCTGAGTCATTTTGTTATTTTTTTTTCCTCCCAGAAGGGCAAACGTTTTCCACATACCTGGTCAGCCAGCGTCTGAGGCGAAGAGTAACCGATGGGACACCCGTGAGACAGACACACGAGCTCAGCACTCAGCTCCAGCACGTGGGCAAGAGGCAAATAGCCGATATAAATGTCTTTTTCCCTGTAAAGGACGTTTAGAAGCTCAACACAGAGCCCACTCCAAAAAGCTCAAGAGAGTGGAAAAAGCCCTTTGAGCTCGAGGATATTTTTTCCAAAATATTCAGAGCTCTGGGACAGGTGAGGAGCTGTCGGTGCGTACCCCAGGTTGGGAATCCTCTCGGCCATTCCAGTGATGCCGGCGATGATGTTGCAATGGGAGATCATGACGCCCTTGGGGACTCCCGTGGAGCCGCTGGTGTACATGATCACCGCGATGTCCGAGGGCACGGGCCTGGCTTGCTGCTTGCTTCCTGCAATTCCTGTTGAAAAGCAACAACGGCAACAAAAAAAGAAAGAGAACACGTGATGTGAGGAAAGCCCGTCAGATACAACTTATTTCAGCACAGGTTGACAGATCTCAAGGAGCTACTGAATTACAGATGGGTTTTTTCCGTTGGTGTTGTCCGAAAGGGTTTTAGCATAAAACCGGGGCGTCAGAAAAGCAAAACCATCTTTTAAAGAAAAGGAGAGGTCACGGTGTTGGAGCAAACCTGCCACCCCCTGAACATCCGGAGCAGACGGATTAACCACCCACCCTACTCCTAAAGCGACATTCATTTGCCTTCAGCGGTTAAAAGATCCCGAAAACACAAAGAATAATAAGAGAAGACAGCAACTGCTGAACAGACCAACATCTCGGAACCCAGGTTTAGCAGCTCTTCAGAGTCAAGAATCAAAAATTTGCTCCGATGCTAGTTACACCACCTCCTGAAATTCTGAATTCCAGCTCCAGAGATGGGGATCGAAGGAATTCACAGAGTGATACTTCCAGAAACGCACTAAAAGCGACCAAGATCTACCGGTTTACTCAACAAGCAGGACGCCAAACGAGAGGAGAGGAGACAACGTACCGGTGTCAGCCTTGGCCCCCATGGCTTGCACCGAGGCCATCGTGTGGATGATGACGCCCTTGGGAAACTCCGACCACGTCGTGGGTTTGCCGTCCACCGTGATAATATGTCGCAGCAGCGGGACTTGAGAAACAATCTCCTGTGGAAATGAAAACGCGTCCGGAAACGTGAGGTTTGTGCCAACAGGGAAGGAAAAAAGAAATACAAAAGAACTCCACAAAACACGCACCTACCTACTGTATACGTTAAAAAACCAAACAACACCGACATAAAAAAACCTGAGGATTTAAAATATCAGAGGATAAGCTCCAACAGCCACAAAGCTTGAAACTTTCCGCATTTAGATTTGTGGGACCAATTGAATTTTCCACTTACAAGTCCAAAAACTTTCCCAACTGCTTGCTGATCATTCCAAGGAAAGCCCGCGAATGAGGCTGCAATGATTTGCAGAGATAACTGACTTTCCACTCCCAAAGAACGCTGAGAGCGTCACTGGGCTCCCAATAATTCTTATGTTGCTACTTGATAATTATGCTATTTAAAAATAAGCAGCTGCTGGCAAAGATACAGAAAATGACTAGTTAAGCACCAGTTCAGCATCTGAGAGAAAATGTGAACTCTAAAATATTTATCAGTGTCCTAGTGGAAGAAATTATCATCCCCAGCAGAAGAATTTCATTCTCTTCCTGCAAGCTGAAATAAATGCACGCTGTATATAAATCATCATTCTAGTAGCTTAAAAAAATAAAAAAAAATAAGGTTTGGGAAATTCTCATTCAAAATTCAACCACAGGTTTCCATCAAAACCATTGCCTTGTGTGAAAAGGGTCTAGTTTGCCCAAAACACACGAGGAAGAAACTCAGGCGGATTTGTCGTTCCACTTGTGTGCTCAATCGGGGGCAGGAAATCAAAAAAAAGTTTTCTGGGTGTTTTGGCGTTTCGCACACTCTTGCTCTTCGAGCGCCCAACCGTTAGGGTGAAGAGTTATTCTCCGCCGGAAAAACATCGGGCAATGCATCAGGGGCATGATCACAACTCAGCTGCTTCGCCTCGCTGCAGGCTGAGCTATCATTTGTTCTGCACCCCAAGACAGGCGCATAAATCTCATTCGAAAAGCAGCGCCCGCCCTGCAGGAAGGGAATCAATCACGGCTCCCTACGGCCTTTCGGCAAAACCGGGGGAAAGAGAGACAAAGAACGAGTTTTCTGACCTTCAGTTTTGTTTGCATCAGTTCTTTGCTGGTGATGATGGTGGTCACCTCCGTTTCGTTCAGCCCGTGGACGATCGCTGGCCCTCCCAGAGTAGCGTACAGAGTAACGACTGAAAGGGAAAATGGGGGCAGAAAATAAAATTATATTTATATACTTTTTAATTATATACTTTTAAGTATAGTTTATGGCAAAAAATAAAGATTAACCCGTTCTAGGTCAGGCGACGCTGTGAAAATATTTGCCAGCTCATATAAAGGTGGTAGAGTTTTGTGCTATTAAAACAAAAAAAAATACATGTTACACGGATTTAAACACGGCATAATTTCAAGCTATTCCCAGACTGAATAAAAACCAGCCATTCCTGTAAGGCTGTTCACTATTTTTCAAGGCTTTTTAAGATTTGGCTTAATTTCTCGTTGCCTAAATCTGATGTGATTGACTGAATTAATTTTGCCCTAAGCCGAGTCTGTTTTGCCCAGGATGGTCATTTCTCTTGTCCTTATCTCGACTCACGAGCTTTTTGTTGTATTTTAATCTCCCCTGCCCGGCTGAGGAGGGGAGGGATGGAGCGGAGGGTCAACCCACTGCAAAAGGATTAATCATTTGAATTTTTAGGCACGGAACTGACGCAATGAAAATACAGAAGAGCAAGGAGAGAAAAGATTCAGGAAACCACCCATTAGAAACACGTTTTCCTGTATTTAAGGATGGCTCAACAAGTGCTAAACTGCAATTATTTCATAGTCACAGTTGAAAAGTCCTATTTAATTTCCTGCCATTTTGGAGGGAACTGCGTGAGAGAAGACAGGAAGAGACTGGGGAAGGAAAAGGCAGCTCAGAAAGGAAGAGAGGTACTGGTCTTAGTAAAAAAAAGAAATAAACAAATCTATTTTCCAAGCAGAATGCAAAAAAAGCTGTAAGGTCAACCTAGACAATCCTTAATGCTGACAACATCAGCTTTTGTTACATCAGGTATCTGATCTCTTTTGTATTTTAGTCTTTCTAGTCTTGACTAATCTGTCGGTCTTGGTTTAGCTGAATATTTGAATATATACATATATATTATTATTAAAAGAAGCCACTCCCTCGTACCTTAGGGCTGTACCTACACCTTGTGCACTGCGGCACTTGGAGATGTGAACCCCAGGGAGTCACTCACCCAGCACAGAATACCAGGGAAGAACTCGAAAAAGCACTTTTCTTACCCGGAAAAGCAAACAGCTGACCTCTACTTTAATTTTTTCCCTTGTTAAAACAGTCCATCATAGTTGAGAACTGTCGCAGGGCAAACGCACATGCTCTGTGTTTTCTTTAATTTGGTGGGAGCAGAGTCCAGACGAGCGTCTTGCCGAGTTCCCACGAGCTCTCCCTACTCACTGCAGTGACCCCTGTTACATAAACATCTCGCAGAAATTCAGTTTCCCCGAGCCAACAAGAGAAGCACAAGCTCCGAAATAACCACTTCAGTGGTTAATTACTCACCTACAACTAAGCTCTCGGAATCCGACTGAAAGAAAAATCCCAGACACAGCTGGTTAACGACAAGAACAAAGCCTTGCCCTAAAAAGACAAACGGAACCTCCACCATTTATTATTTCGGCACCCACCACACGTCAAAAATAAAAATGTACCTTTGAAGGTTTTAGCCAAATGGGTTCCGACAAAATCACTTGGGCTCAAGAGTGCGGGAAGGCACGCTCGACAAACGGAACGCAGCCTCTCCTACGGGCTGCAGGGTTGGGTGACACCTCGGGTGTTCTACCTGCCCACGCCGGTGAAGAGCTCTTCACACAGATGAAGGGGAGACACTTTGGAAGAAAATCTGTTTTCGTGTTCGTACTTTTTTCCCCATTTATAAGCTAGCAATCTCACTCTACCCTCCGCAATGACAAGACGTAGAGAGCTCCAAGCAATGTAAAAGGTACCACCAAGCAAGCATTTCTCATCACAAACCCACTTGATTGGCATAAAAACTACTCTCCCTGCTTTAGCTGCGTGGTACAAAAGGCATATATATCCTCTGCAACGCGACCTACGAGGAGATGAACCTGCTCCCTGCGCAGCAGTTCCGGGCACGGCCCCTCAGATTCAACACATTCCACGCTGGGAAAGAACGGCACAACCCTACCGCAGCAGGGAGCCGTTGCGAGGCTTGTGAAGTGACAAAATGCTCAGAGAAGTGAAAAAGTGCTCAGAGAAGTCAAAAAACGCTCAGAGAAGTCAAAAAACGCTCGGAGAAGTCAAAAAACGCTCGGAGAAGTCAAAAAACGCTCGGAGAAGTCAAAAAACGCTCGGAGAAGTCATGTGCAGCATTAATTTTCCCCCACCGCTTCTTCTACATCATCGGAATTTTCTAACTCCCCCAGCAGACCGACCGCGGGCGCTGCACGGTATCGTCGTCGGCCGCCACGGCGCGAGTCAGCCAAGTTCACGTTCAGATGACATCCAGCCTGGATGCGAAACACCACGTCAGACAGTGCGCCGGAGCACGTCTCACTAAGGGAATTTAAAACACGAATCCAGCAAAGCCACAAACGCAGGCATGCCATTCCGCACACGACACCCAGCCGCTATCTCAGATCATTTCTTTTGCCCTCCCCCGGCCTCGAATTACGAAATTCTCCTAGGGTTTGTAAGCGCGCTTCACTTCCAGAGAAAAAATAAAAATAAAAATAAAAATAAAAATAACTACAATATGGCTTTGCGTTTATTCCCAGGACAGTCCCCAAGAATCTAACAGACCCCAGAAGTGATAAAAGGGGACTGTCACGGTGTATCACAAGACACGTAGCTGAAAAGCAACGCCAGCATCTCATCTGAGAAGAGCCCGTGCAGATCTCTGCTCCGGCAGGCAAGGCAGCAGCAGTCGCTCGCTGAGGAAAGGACCAAAACCACCCCGGAACTGAGCTGGGAAAGCACCCGGCAAGATCACCTGCACAGAAACCTTCGTTACCGCAGAGGGCTCGGGGCCACGGCCAGGCTGGTTTTGAACATCTTCAGCGATGGAGATCTCACAACCGTCCCAGGCTCCTGTTCCGGCATTTAACCACCCTCGCAGGGAAGAAGTCTGTCCTGGTATCTAAGCAAATTTTCCCGTTTCAGCTCCCGCCCGTTGCCTCCAGCCTTACGGGAACGACCTCTGAGCAGAGCCCGGCTCCGTCTCCTCGGCGTGCTCCCACCAGACGCTTGGGACAGCGGCAAGAGCTCAGCTCGCTCATCCCAGCGCTGATCAGACCCCGCTCGACCGGCCTCTCCTCCCGTGTCGCGTTCCCCAGCCCCCTCAGCATCTTGGCAGCCCTCCACTGGACTCACTCCAGCACGTCAACAGCTTTCTCTTCCCCTACTGGGAAGCCCCAGACTGGACACAGTGCCCTGGACGTGGAGGAGGAGGATCACTTCCTTGGACCCTACTCACTACACCCACGCTACTGCCACCCGGGATGCTGCTGGTACCACATCCTTGTGGCTCACTCATTGCCCACCAGGTCCTCCTCTTCACAGCTGCTCTCTCTGTCCAGTTTACCCCCAGCCTGTACTGGGGAATGAGATCCACTATAAATCCTTCACCAGAAGTAAATACAGTCTGAAGGTTTCTGAAGTACTAACTAGGACTCAAGCTTGTCCTCGAGCACAATCTCAAACCAGCACTCGGGTTAAATTAGGATGTAATTAAGTGATGTGCAACGGACCATGAGAAAGTCAAGAGGTGGAGAGAAGAAAGAAAAATACAAAAAAAAAAATTTAGATCAGCTCAGCCTAAGGTTTGAGTTAAGGAATGACTTGCAGTTCGGTAAAGGGAGGCACTAAGCAACTTTTGAATTTAAAAATGTTCTCCAAAATCAGGTCAGGACTCACCCATGCCCTTCCATTTTTTTGAGATAACGATACAATGAAAACTCAAACCTAAATTGAAGAACTGACAAAACATCCAGTTAAAACAAAACTTACAGGGCACACATGAAGGTTTGACATTGACTCCTAAAACCGAGTCAATGAATTCATGTGCGATTTTTGTTTGTTTGTCTTTAGAAACTTGGAAATCTGCACGGATTTAAGACGACAGGAAAACAAACCACTCACAAGTTCACTGAGCGAGCTATACTTACCAAAACCGTGCTCCATCTGCCAGCAGAGACACAGTAAGACGCTACAAAGCGCACAGCCTCCGCTTTTTTATTTCCTATTTGTAATTTTACATGTTCTGGACAAGCCCTAGATGATTTTTTCTCTGTTCCCAAAGGGAAAAAAGAGGAAGGTTTGTCCTTGCCCTGCGCTGCCACATTGAAAGACCCAGAAATGTGGGGAGAGGGGTTACTCACGCTGGTAGTTGCACATGAAGCACGCCTGGGCTGCGATCATCCACTCCGCCCGGGTCTCGCAGAAGATCGCGATGTTGGTCTTTGGTTGCTGCCCCAGGACTGCCAAGCCCTTCCCAAAATTAACGGCTCTAACGTACACATCCTCATAGGAAAGCCAGGTGTACTTGCCCAGGATGACCTGATCAGAATAATAAATCCAAGTGAGAAAATTAAAATCCTTAAAGGCGCGTCCTGCTGCGCCTCCACCCGCATCGAGAACCTGCAGAGGTTTGAAGCAACGCTTGCTTGAATTATAACAGCGGTTTATCTGAGATAACAAATAATATTCTTGCCAAAAACCAGGGGGGCTGTGGCAGCTCCGACACAAATGCCGAGATATCTCCACGCACGTTATCACCTCAGTTTCTATTTTCACATCAGGAAAACACATGATTCCCACCGTACTTCAGACACCCTTTGTGGTTATCCGACCCCCAAACCTTCCGTTTTTCACAAAGGTTTTGTTTTATTTTAAGTAAAGCTGCTATGACACCTTCTCCACATTTGCTTTCTTGGATGTTTGGGCATCCAAATATTTAGGTGCCCATTCTTACTAAACAAATTAATCAAAAATTCGGGAAGCCGGGATGCTGAGGGCAGCACACCGATGGGTCAGAGATTGTGAAATCCCTTTCCCTTGTTCCCAAACACAGGTCAGGGGGGAGAGGAGTCGTCTTTTTGCCCTTTTTTACTGTTAAATAGCAGAGGGACAGAACACTGCACTGGAAATTACTGACAAATCTCAGTGCTGGAAAGTCACGTGGAAAAGATTAAGCAATCTCCCTTTTCTTTACGGGAGAGCTGGGGCTGGATTTGGATTCACAGGTCACTCTCACAGATTTCTATGTGTGCACTTACACCTTGCAGTAATATTTTTTCACTGAGTGACAGGCTATTTCTTTGAGAATATCCCAGATATTTTCATATACAGCTGTAGTAGTAAGAAGATGTTTTACACTGAAAACCCAGTTCCTAAATCATTATACCTTACCCATGTTGTTACACAAGCACCCTGACAAATTTTGAAAAAAAAATGTAATTTTTATTAGTCCAAGTATTCACACTTTGTCTACACAGCTAAATGCAAGCAAACACTTAAATAAAAAGCTAGGAAAGGCAAACACCTCCCTCGCCCCCCATTGTTTTCCACATTTCATTTATCAGCTCTAACTAAATTCCAGACTCGCGGGCTGTAAAATCTAACGACTTTTTGGCACGTCGCTACATTTCTAGTCAGTCTGTATTTCCACATCCACCTTCTTAATAAAATGTAACTGAAAATCTCTCCTGACCTCTAGCAGGTGAAAAAAAATAAAATAAATAAATAAGCCAACAGATTTCTTCTGCCAAAGCATTTTTTCAACCTGCTGAAGCTCGCTCTTGGGTACCTGAGCTGTACCTGGTACAGCCTCATTAACCTACTTACCGAGCAGGACAAACCCGGTTTTACCGGTGTGAGAAACTGCCACCGCTTCCAAAGAAAATATCGCACTTCTTCCTATCCTACAAATTCCACAAGTTTGGAAATTTAATTCCAATTAGGGATATTTTTGCCTTTCCCACCTCTCCCACCAAAGGCAGCGGTTTTGGAAATTCCTGACGGGTTCATTAGCTGAATTTAATTTAATTCTCTGAAATAAATTATCCCCATTGCTTAAACAAGTTTGCCACAGAGCAGAGAAAAGATGACCTTATTGCTGCTTTCCTTCCCTAAAAGCTTAGAATATCCCCAGAAAGGAACTCCAGCAGTTGTTTTTCTCTATATATCGAAATACAGCTGTATTTCTGAAGAATGCTGAGGTGTAACAACAGAAGAGCTTCTCAGTGCAGCTACTTTGAGTTTTTATTTCCTTGCCACCTTCCACCTCTTTACATTCCTTATCTTTGAGCACTTCTGCAAATCCATCTCCCTCCTTGGTCCTGTCCTCAGTAGCTTTTGCTAATATTTTCCTTCTAAACCTCCACAACACTCTTCTAAATGTTCACATACATTTGATTTTCCACCTTTCAGACCTTATTTCTGCTGGCCAACTGCCCGCACAGGGAAATAAACCAACTCTCTGCAAGAGGCTGCAAGAGAAAGGCCAAATAAGTCAAGATCCCTGAGAACTGACTGGAGAGCCACATTAAATTAGAAGAGGTGGCACCACCGAACGGCTGCATTTAGTAGAAAACACATTTAGTAGAAACGGCTACATTTAATAGAAAAATATCGCCCTCTAGTGCAGATCTATTTAAACTGCAAATGACTGAAAATACTCGCTGCGCTGGAAAATATTATTAACCATCAGTACTGCGTTAATATTTGGGAATCCAGCAAAGCACAGAGATAGAATACTTGATGCACAGTGAAGATGTCTTCAACCTGGATTTTTAGCGCGACTTTATGCAAATTTTTGCTGTGAAGGTGTCATAAAATGTTCTCAAAGCAGCCGCAGGCACACGTGGTCACTGAAGTCCTCAGCTACCTTTCAAGGTCCTCTTAAAAGTAGCTTCTAGGGGTTGAGGAACCTTGGCTACAACCTGGAGAACTTGTGATGGTAAATTAAACACAATTCCCTGCAGAAAGCGTATTAAAAATAATGCAGAGTTTATTCTAAATGTTTATTTTTGGCCTTTTGCAAGTGAAAGCACGGATCGCAGCTGAAAAACGCTGCCCTAAAATATTATTTACTCTTTTTAAAGCAGTAGAAAACAAATGAACACACCCCCCAAAAACAACAACAAAAGAAGACACACAAAGCAAAATCCAGGCAGGCAGGTAGATAGAAGCCAGCACGTGACAACATAACCTGGAACCCAGAGGACAGAAAATAATCAACCAGCAAAACCAAGTTCATCTTTTGGGCATCATAAGATGGAAGCTCTGCTGAAGTTCTTTACTTTTTCCAATTAGTTCCATCTTAATGTATTTTCAACGTTGTTTTATACTGACTTAAATACAGTTTCATGGAATCAGCATTAGGTCTGCTCTCCCATCCCTCCACTAAAGGGGCAGCACAGAAGGAAAAACTAAATATATTTAGTTTTTCAACAAAGTAACCAGAAGTGCGTGCCTGTGTTTCACTGGTATCTGTGAATTTCTGCTACTTGGGCAACTACACAGGAATAAATAACCCTTCTGAACAGCAAACTGCCATAAAAAGCCAAGAACTCACAGATGACCTGGGCTGTCCCTGCTCTCAATACATTTATGTAGCATCTCAGAGATGGTAAATATCTAGCTTTAAATAATCTTTGCCACAAGTGTGAGCCCGCTCAGTTCTCCCAAGAATCGGGAGCTTAACATTTTACTTTTGAGAGACATATTTACCCCATTCATTAAGAAATCGTTAATTAGGCAATAAAGAGATGCGTGTTGTGGAAAGGCAAAAAGCAAAAGAGCCCTGACATTCAGAACAAACAAGCTCCCTTGTGACATTTTCTGATTTTCTTCACCTGCTAGAACATGTGGTGAGGTATTAAGAAACACTGCAGTCCTTATTGGAAAGGAAAAACAGAATAAAATACAAGTAGACTTAGGCAATAATGCCACAACTTGGAACAAAGTAATTTGAGGGCAAGCGTGGCAACGGACCATAATGAACTGTTGTGTCAAGCTTAGAAATTACTTAAGTTGGGTAATTTCGTCTAAGTCTAAATACTCAGAAACAAGTAATTCAAGTAGGTCAACACCAACATTCTTCAGCTTTCCAATATTCAGAATACTTTGCTTGCATAACCCAACAGGCTAAAACTCCTAAATTCTTAAGCCCTAAGGTACTAATTACGTTGGAAAACCTGAGAGCAGAGCCCGGGCAGCCGAAACTCTGATCCACACTCTTGTACAACATGAACTTTACAGGGGAACAAGGCAGAGAAACGTGAAAAAAAAAATCAGAAAAAGGAAAATGAGGTGTCCCCAGCGCCTCCTTCGTACCAAAACATGAGGGGCAGGGGGAAAGTTTCATGAACAAAGTTGGTACAAAGATTTGACCAGAATAAACTCTGTCACGTGTTGCGTTACTGACCGAATTCTACTTTGTCACACTTCCGAATCAGAACTATCAGCGCTGAAGGAATCCTTTGTTATACAAAGAGACACATTTTTCTTTGAGAAAACTGATCTTAACTGAAAATTATCTTTACAGCAATTTAACGACTTCCAGTACAGAAGGGGGGACCTTTAGCACAGATCTGCGCACGTACATGTATCCTCTTAATGGTATCTTGACTTGCTCCAGGCAAAACTGCATTTTTAGATGCCTCTGAACAAACACAAAGCAGCAACTGAGAGTGCAGGTCTCAAAAGACTCTAAAACTCAGCCCCTTCAGTATAAAACAACAGTTTTGTACCGAAATCACAACGCTCCCCACACCAGAGTAGTTCACCTTAAACCAGACTGAAAGACACTCCACACCCCCCAAAAAAAATCCAACTGAAGCTTGTGCAATGCTTTTCCAAAGAGAAAATTCATCTGAGGCCTCAATTGACAGGACAAAACAGTAAATCCTTCATTTACAGTTCCGTTTCCTAGAAGGGCACATGCGAGAACAGGCATTTAGTAATTTTTCTGTATTTATCAGATCATAGTTGAGAACAACACAGAGGGAAGCTTTTCATAATTCTCCCAAAAGGAGAACTTTATCATCAGCTAAATATAAAAACCAAATACCTAAAACATCCTGAGGAAATATATTTGTGCTTTTTCTTTGGCTGAGACCATAAGAAGGGGTATCTCCTCAAGAAGGCTGACATCTGGGTTAAATGCCCAGTAAGGAAGGATCAGGAATTAGATCATTTAACTCTTTTCCCAATTACTTAATCTATGCAGAGAGACTTACTTTCCCCCCTAGATGATCCCTAAGGTCCCTTCCAGCCTATGCCATTCTGTGATTCTATGAAATGCGCTTTGCGAAACTTCTCACCGGCGGGGCTGCGAGGAGAGACTCACCTTTTTAAAAACTTTTCCCGACGGCTGGATTTCATCCTCCTCTTTGAGGACCTCCCGCGTGCCCAGGAGTTTTTTGTCCTTAAATTTCGTTTTCGCGTACTTAAAAACTTTGTCGAGGGTGTCGCACCCGGGATATAAAACCGAAGCTAAACAGTGCAGGCTGTTCACGGATCTGTACGCGCCCCCGGGCTTGTTATTCACAGGTTTAGCTTTCACCTGCTTGGCTTTTTCTATCGCCTGCCTCGAGCTTGAAAAGATGTACCAGGGAACGTACGTTACCAAGGAGTACAGCAGGATTACAAAGTTTATCAACTGCAGAAGAACGGGGTTGATGTTATGCTTCAACTTCATTCTGGCTGCTTGCAGGAGGTTACCAGGGAGAGGTGGGGAACATGGATCGATCAGGCAGGGATCCGGAAAGAGCTGGAAAGAGGAAAAGAAAACGTTAGTGGTAAACTCCGACCTGTCGGCAAGGGGGTGACTGCCAACTACGTCAGTGCAACCTCTATCAAAGTAGGGGTTTTTTTTACACAGAAAAAGGAAAATTTCAAGGTTATGCCAAATTTGAAAGGCACGCACTGTTCACTATCCCATATTCTGCTTTTTAGAAGTACCAAACAACAGGAAAAACCTCTGACAGATAAATATAAAGTTTTAAAAATTTGTTGAAATACAATCTGTGGTCACGTCACCAATGTTGGAAGCACCAGTGAAAGGAGGGTAAGTAATCTGAACATTCTGGGGCAGGGAATGGAAAGCAGGACAGCCTCAGTGGTTTTAGTGTTAGTTAGATGATGATGAGGCTTAATCACCGACAAATAAGAATACATGATACACGAAAATATCTCTAATTTGCTGGTTCGGTCTGCAGATCAGCTGTGAACACTCGGGCTCTTATAGAACACGCATCCATCCTGGCACCACGTAATCCCGTCGGCGTTTTTGAAGAATTGGTGTTCAAACCGATGTGGAAAAAGCTGGGCATGTTAAATCCTGGAAGAAGGAGCCGCTAATTCATGCAAGACTATCAGAAAATTAAAAGTCATGCAAGCGAATGGTTTTTTAATTGAAAAACTGTGCCAGCGAACGTTTCGTAATGATAGCTGCTCCGTTTATACCTAATTGTGTTTCACGAAGGTGAAAGCCTAAGACCAGAGGTAAGTTTTTTCAGGAGGGGTGAGAAGCAGCAACCAGCACGCCCATCCCAGAGCCCGCAGAAGGGAACTGGCAGTTTTCAGGAGTGGTCCTGCTTAATCCATAATCGGTGATTTGGCCCAATACGCTACTTACATTAATACTGTTACACCCTCGAGTTTTAGAAAAAAACTTTTGTGAAACGAGAAAAACAAAAAAAAAATCCTTAAAGGAATGTGTTTACTAATCAACCTGCTTATAATTATTGCGCCACAATAAAAGCACAAGTTGACAAGAAAAAGAAACCTTATGCAACTTCTCATCTTGGCAGGTGCAGGTAGAGCAGCCGATACGAGATGTTCCCGTCCCGGATGACTCAACAGGAGCTGTCACAGGCGACGGCGCGAAATCTAAAAGGTGGAAAATCCCCATTAAATACAGTGGTTATAAATTCACTTGTCTTTTGTAAAAAACAAATAAATCAATCCACTTGCTGCAACTCTTTTTAAAAAAAAAGCCTACAGCAACCAGCAATCGTTACGCACATTGATTTCGCCCCGCTACACACATCAAGGTTTTATTTATTGCCCTTTGCGGAAGCAAGTCTTGCTTAAAACCCCACACCAATAATTCACAGCTCAAATACGCAGCAAATGTAAACATCTCCTAACTATGACCTGTCTGCAAACAGTATTATTTACCCAGCTACTCAGCTCTGAGGCGAGTAATCTCTTCCAGAAAGCAGTTTCCGTGGGCTATTTGCTGCTCGAGTTAGGTACCCACGGTGCCCTGCCCTGTTCCTCGACGTGCTACTTCAACCCCTCCTCAAACCCAGATACCCCCACAAAAACCCCAAAACATTTCAGCCACAATTAACAGTCCCAGGAACGCACGCTAGGATTCTCTTACCAACGAGTCCTGCCAAAAGAAGGCGATTTGTTAACATTCACATTAAAAGAAAAAATTACTATTATCCATCTGTAAGCGTTCGTGTGCTTGTCTGCGGAAAAATAGAAGAGAAATGGATGTACACAGAAGGAACTGCCTGTGGAGCTGAAGTGAGGCAGAGCCCAAGGCAGGGAGGGGTGCCGAGAAGAAAACCGCACGGTCACCTCAGCAGAAGGTCTGGTTTGCAGTATGGATCTAAACCACAGCTGTATTTGAAAGCAGATGTTCCTCGCAGCTACAGCAGAAGTGTTTTCACGCGTTTCTTGAGAGGAGGGAAAGCCCAATGGGCTCCAGAGAACGGTGGAAATGACGCCGTGCTCCCCAGAGAAGCCTCGGCGCTTGGTTTCCCGAGGCCAACGGTTTCCACACGAGTGCAAATGCTGTCCTGGGGCCCTTCCTGCTGCTTTTCCAGCCTCTCCATCCTTCCCCAGGCCGGTGTCTGGGTCTCAGCATCACTTCTAAAGCCAAGGAGACCTTCTAGGCACCTCTCAAACACCCACACAACCCTTGGCCAGGAAGACCCACACCCCTGTTCCACAACGGACACCTCTACAGAGTCAACTGGGGAGAGACGCGCAGCTCTGTCGCAAGCAGACACCCCTTGGGGCAAGGAGGGAAAGAAAAAACGCTCGGGGCGCCAACCCTTTGGTCACCATCAACCCGCCCTTCCTCGGCAGCTCCACCCGACCACGCGGGGCTCGTCATGGCCAGCAACGAGCCTTTGCTAAGGAAAGGAGAACAGGATTGTAGAGAATTCTGGAGTCGTTATGGGTGGAAAAGACCTTGGAGATCAGCAAGTCCGTTATCTAAATCTTCTGGGCCCGCTTCTAAACCGTATCCCTGAGCACCACATCGAACGGCTTTTAAATACACCCAAGGACGGGGATTCAACCACAGCCAGTCTCTGACAGCCCTTTCCCTGTAGGAGTTTTTCCCAATGTCTAAGTCAGACCTACTCGGCTGAAGGTTTTTGTGACATTTTTTCAAGCAGGCAGACCCAGAATGAACTTAATCCTCACATCCTCTCCAGTCCTTGATGTCTCGCTCCGGGTCCTGCACGAGAGACACGGGTCTCTCCCTGGGCTCCACACCACCGCTGGGCAGCAGGGGGGCTCTGGTGAAGCACAGACCTCGAGGAAAGACACACCGGGACCCGGACGGAGACACTCTGAGGCAGTCGAGGTTGCTCACGAAGCTCACGGCCCGAGGGCTCGGCTTCAGTTCGGCTCGAGCCAAACTAATCTGCTAATCAAAACACACCGTTTGCCTCCAGCCGTAACCCCCAGCTCCTCGCGCCCTCCCTTGTCCCAACCCCGTGCGGCTCGGAAGGAGGCGGATTAGCCCGCTGATCCAGGTTAAACCCTCTCCTTCCCCGGGCAGGAGGGTGGGTTTGCTTTTGTGTCAACTTAGCGGAGCCGCGGGCGAGGAGTCACTGCGGGCACCTAAACCAACAGCAGATCAGCGCCACAAAAGCGGTTGTTCTTCCGCTATCCCGAACGGGCTGAGCGGTAAGAGGGAGGGAGCCCAGTGGGATGTGAGAGGATTAACCTCCTGCTCTCACCGCCAACGATCTCATTACTCCCTTTTTTTTTCCAAGGTGGTTCCAAGTGCTACAGCCTCAACGCCTTCAAATTTCAGACATTCCTATAGGGGGTTAATTTACGTCCCTCGTTTTAACGCTGCGTTCGTAAAATGATAGCCCTGCTTCCCCAGGACGCAGTCTGAAGGCACGTTATTTAGGAGAAATATATTATTATGTACTTGTTAGACACCAAGATACAGTAAAGGTAGGAATTACCTGAAAGAAGGTATGCCCTAAGGAGAGACCTTCTACTATATTAACTAAACCTTGGGACAAAGGAAGGAGTTACATTACCTAAAAAGCTTTCAAAACACTGATATTTTCTTTTTTTTTTTTTTTCCCCCCACTTACACCAAAGGGACAAAAACCCCAAACAGGTAGCACAGAACTAAATCAGACAGAAGCCGCTGACATTTCTTGAGGGCAAAGACCCGCGCTTTCTCCTAAATGGATTTTTGGTACATCCAGTTATTTCTAGAAAGGTGAGTGGGTGTTAAAAAGGCCCTTTTGCCATCAACATTTTCTAAGCACGTCCATGCCCCGCTTGTAGGAAACATCAGGGCATGCTGGGGGAGAGTGAGATTCTGTTTAAAACACTTCAAAACTTACTTTCCTTAAGCTCGTACAAGATAGATTAAATATTCAATGGCTTGACAAATGCATCTTTTTTTAAAAAGCACAGCTCGATGGTAACAATTGTTAGCAAACCCAAAAGCACTTCCCAAGAAGTTAACGGCGCTGCTGCCTCTAGTGCAGAGAGGAAAAGCGGGTGATAAAACCATCTATTCAGAGTCATTCCACACAGTAACGGCCATGCCAGGAACACAATCCAGGGCTGCTACACTTTTTGTCTCCTTTTCTTCCGACTTCCACCAAGGCCGACAAGAGCCTTGCCCATCTCAGGCACTGTGATTTACCAGCCATTGGCAACACATTGCTTCCATTCCTCCTCACCAGCAGCTCTCAGAGTGTTCAAGAGAGGTATTTAGTGCCAAACTAAATTAAACGTTTTCACGTTTGTGTCAGAGAAGCAAAGAAATTAATGGACGAAGCATCTCCCTACTGGGAAAGACCTTCACTACTTGCAAATTAACTGTGGAAGATCCAAAACCACCGATTCCCCTTCTAGATTTTTAAGCACAGACACAAATTCAACGCAGAAGAGCACAGAAAGGGGAACATCAATGCCGCTGCGCAAAAGTACTCCGCATAAAAACAAACCCGGAGCTTCAGCATTACCCCCAGAACCTCTGGTTCCCGGGGAAGCGGAGTCGCGGGTCGCTCTCCCAGTTCCTCCAGCCACCTCCCAGTTGATGAAGATAATCCTCCCCAGCACCTCCACTGGGAGGCAGGCTCTGCTTTCCAGCTGAAAGGAAGGCAACAGCTGGAGTGGTTCAATATGCCATGTTCTACCACCAAACTCAAAACAGCTCCCTAAATTCCGGGAAATCCAGAACGCTCAGGAGTGAGCAGGTCTGGTTTGTTTGTTTCTTAAAATCCAAACCAGAAATAGATGTTCTGCTGCCGCATACGTTCAGTCAGATCGCGTCCTGTATTCTAGTTGTGTATTTGTATTCTAGTCGTGTATCTGTCAGATCAGAACAAAAAAACTAACGAAACAGTAGCAGATTTTTAGCAGCAAAAGCATTTCTGCTTTTCTAGCAGAAGCTCTACACATATTAAAATA